AAATCATTTGAATTAAATTGAAATCAAGAAGCAGTCCAGAACATGTCTGCAGTGAACAAAATTTCAATATAGTATATTTACAATTTAATGGCTCAGACAGAGCGAGGATGCAAGACCCCTGATCTCAGTTAGCTGATGGCTGACTGACCTCGGGCTGCAAGGCCCAGGTTGAGTTCCCCATCCTTCTGAATGGTTGAACTCCGCAACATTCTATTACAGGTTTCCCACGCCCTTTCTTTAAAGATGTTCAAAGTTGGGAACTCAGAAAAATACCCTTGATGACCACCTCTGTCTTTGCAGAGTGGGTCCAAAGACTGGCACAGTCAGGAGGTCTGAGAGTGTGTGTGTGGGGGTTTATGGGGGTTCAGGGGCGCCCATGCGGCTACCTTCCCGGTGCTTGAGCGATGGCGGCTGGGTTGGGAGCAGGCGTGGTTCTCCTTCCCGCGGTGGATCGGGGCCCAGCCTACCTTCCCAGTGCTTGAGCGATGGTGGCTGGGTCGGGAGCAGGCGCAGTTCTCCTTCCCGCGGTGGATTGGGGCCCAGGCTACTCGATTTGGGGCTTCTCTGTGGTATGTTACATTTATTGATTTTTGTATGATACTTGTATTCCCCAGAATAGATTCCACTCAATACTGGTAAATGCAACTTTTATGTTATGTATGTAAGTATGTATGTGTGTGTATTTATTGGTACTGGGAATAGAACTTGGGACCTTGTGCTTGCAAGGCAGGTGGCGCAACCATTGAGCTAAATCCCTGGCCCAAATGCAACTTTTAATATGCTGTTGAATTCTGTTTGCTAGTTCTTTGTGTGAGAATTTAGGCAGTTGTGTTCATCAGGGATATTGGCCTTAGTTTCTTTGTCTGCCTTTGTTACTAAGATAATGTTGGCCTTGGAAACTGAGATTGGAAGGATACCCTCATTTTCAGTTTTTTTGTAGTGTGAGGGAGGTTGGCTGTTTGAACATTTGGTAGAATCCACAGTGGAATCATCTGGTCCCTGGCTTTTTCCTTGATAGGGCAGTTCATATTACTGATTTCATCTTCTTACTCATTTTTGCTGTGTTCAGAGTTTTTATTTCTTCCTGATTCAGTCTTTATAGATTGCACAATTCTAGAATTCATCCATTTACCCCAGGTGATTTCATTTTTTGGTGTAAGGTTGTTCATAGTACTCTCTTACAGTTCATTGAATTTGTGTGGTATCAGTTGCAATGTCTCTTTTATTTCTGATTTTGTTTACTTGGGCGTAGTGGTGCACATCTGGAATCCTAGCTACTCGGGAGGCTGAGGCAAGCAGGAGGATCACAAGTAAAAGGCCAGCCTGAACAACTTAATAAGACTGTTTCAAAATAAAAAGGGCCAGGAATTGTAGCTCAGTGGTAAAATACCCCTGGGTTCAATCTGCACTATTATAAAATGGAAAAAAAAACAGCTTTTAGTTTTCTCAGTCTTTTCAGTTGGTTTTCTAGTCTGTCTTGATTATTTCGTGTGTGTGTGTGTGTGTGTGTGTGTGTGTGTGTGTGTGTGTGTGTGTGTGTGTGTGTATGTGTGTGTGTGTGTGTGTGTGTGTTGAGACAGGGTCTCACTATATAGTTCAGGCTGGCCTCAAAATTGCGATGATCCTCCTCCTGCCTCACCTTCCCAAGTGCTAGGATTACAGAAGTGCATCACCACACCAGGCTCTCTTCTGTTTATTTCTGCTCTGGTCTTTATTTCCTCCCTTCTGCTAAGTTTGGGCTTTACTTGGTTCTTTTGTTTCCTTGTTCTTTGCGGTATAACGTTAGGTTTCTTTGAGGTCTTTATCCCGTTTTTACGTAGGCATTTGTTGCTATCAGCTTCCCTGTTTGAACTGCTTCTGTTGTATCCCATTAATTTTGGTGTGTTGTGTTTACATTTTTTGTTTCAAATTTTTTAAAAATTTCTCTTCTAATTTCTTCTTTGACTTACTGGTTGCTCGAGAACATGTTTGATTCCCACACATTTGTGAGCCCTCCAGGATTCCTCCCATCATTGAAAAGCTACTGACAGGATTTGAATTACAAATCTGTTAGGCCTTGTTTCTGCAGGTGTTGGACAGAGCGCGCTGCACCTCGCTGTTGGACTCGTTGAAAGCACACGTTTCCCTGTTGATTTTCTGTTTAGATGATCTGCCTAGTGTTGAAAGTGGTACTGAAGTCTTCCCTTACTGCATGACAGTCTCTTTTCGTATTATTAATGTTTGCCTTGTATATATATCAGTGCTGTGATGTTGGCTGCATATGGATTACAGTTGTAACTTTGTGATGATTCATGCTTTTATCGTTATATCATGACCTTCTTCGTCTCCTTGTGCAGTATTTGACTTAAAATTTTTTTTTTGATAGGAGTACAGCTATTCTATTCTCACTCTCTCAGTTTCCATTTGCAGGGAATATCTTATCCCATCCGTTCATTTTTTGAAAAGAAATGACCATGTGAGGAGAACATTGTTTTGTTTCATGCAAAGATAGTTAAGTTTTAAAATTCTCTTTTTATTTTTAGGATCTGGGGACTCAAGAGATGACTTTAACGTGGAGCATGGACATCCAGAAACTTCTTCAGTAAAGCGTGAGTAATAAACCAGACCGTTAGAGCCAACAATAGTAATTAATACAGACCACCCACTTAGGATGTGCAGCAAGGAAAATAATGGGTAGCCTGGATTTTGCTGGCTTGGGTGAAGCAGTCATCAGGAATTAGAGTACTTCAAGCAAATCCGAATACACAGTCCTCTGTCCATGAGGGTTCTGCTGCAGGTGAGGTGGCATGGCATGTCCATCCCAGTGAGGGTTCTGTGCTGTTGTGTGCATCTGCAGCCCAAGATTCTTGGGTGGAGGGGTCATGGAGTCATCACCTGTGTAGGATTGCACAGCTTGCTTTCTTCCTTCAGTGTGTATAGAACCCAGGAGAGAGTCCGTCTGTCTATAATAGGTTGTTCCATCTGCTATAAGGAAACCACACAGTGTATGACCTGAGAGAGCAGAACCTTATCCTCTCGCAGCTCTAGAGCCAGCAGTTCGAAGTCCAGTGGCAGCAGTGCCACGGCCCTCCTAGGGGTGCTCTAGAAGACCTCTTCCTATCTGGTACTGCTCCCGGCTACCATGAACTAAGCAGCTTTGCCTCACCATGGACTTCCTACCCTGGAGCTGCCCACCCATGGACTGAACCCTCTGAAACCATGAGCCACCTCCTCTAAACTATAGGTGACAGGAAAGCTGACCAATCCAGGCATGGGGATGACTTATTCCAAGTGTAAGAAGATGCTCCTGTAGGATTCTGAAACAATTTTGCTGGGATAGGGATACTATTCATAGACCAGTGATTGATCTGGGATTGCGGTTTCTTTAGCTCATCGTTCTAGAGGCTGGGAAATCCAAGATTTGTTTCCTGCAAACTCAGTGCCTGGCAAGGTCTGCTCTCTGCTTCCTAGCTGGTGCCTTCCATGTGCTCATGTGGTGTGTAGGGCACAAGAGCTGCCTGAAGTTTCTTTCTTTCTTTGCTTTTTGAGACAGGGCTCCCCATGTAGTTCAGGCTGCCCTTGAACTCGAAGGGATCCTCCTGCCTCAGTCTTCGGAGTGCTGGGATGACAGGCATGTGCCACCACAGCCAGCTAAGGCTTCTTTCATAAGGACACAGTCGCCATTCATCAAGCAGAGCTCTTTTACCTAATCATATTCAAAAGGCCCCGTGGCTTAGTGCTGTCATTGTGGGGCTGGGCTTCAACATCAGCATTCTTAGGAGGCCCAAGTATTTAGAGCCACCCCAGGACCGAGCCACTCTGCTATTCTTCTGGTTATGGCACTAGGGTAGAGAGTCCTTCCTAGGAAGGCCTTGCTGCCAGCAGCATTTGCTGGGTAGGCAAGAGCTTTCTGGAGCTTGTCATTTTGATAAAGGCTTCATAGAAACTGGTTTCTTTATTTGAAGAGCACACTGCTTTGATGGCTGACCTGCTCTTCTTAATCCCTGATAAGTAGCTAGACATGTCTCATCTCAGTTAGCAATAATAGGGACTCCCATTCAAAGACTCGTGCCAAGAAAATCAAGGGTTAATAGTGTCTTTATTTTGTGTTTGTGTGCCAGAGGCGGAGTTGGGACAGGGTCTGGCTGGCCTTGAACTCACTCTGTAGTCCAGGTTAGCCTTGAATTTACAGCAATCTTCCTGCCTCAGCCTTGTAGGTGCGTAGTTTAAGTCCATCATTGCAAGCTGATGTTGTGCATGAGAACAGGCTAAGCCTCTGACAGCAACTGCTCCCCGGTGCCTATAGGGACCATGCTCTCTCGAGGTGGTCCGTGCAGATCTTCAGAGGAACCGGACTTTTCCAGAAGCCAAACTAGGCAGGCAGAGCAGGCAGCATGGGGTGGCAGGAGTAAGGCTGAGATGCTGGCATTGTGCGTATCAGTGGGACAGAACTGAGAGGCTGAATGTAAAGCTTCACGTGTGTTGTCAGTTGTTAATTTTTCTAAAAGGATAAATGGAGGGCTGGGGATTTAGCTCAGAGGTTCGGTGGCCTGCCTTGCAAGCGCAAGGGTCCGAGTTCAATCCCCGGTAGCAAAAAAAAAAACAAAAAACCTTTCCTGGTAAAAGGGTAAATGGATGTTTTTACAGAAGCTTAAAATCACATGGTTTCTCATATAAGAAACTCAAAGTATAAATAAATGAAAGAGCCAACTAAAAGGTAGGTGGTAGAAAGTAGGGAGGTAGGTGTTTCTCAGAAGGGGAAGAACCAAGAGCTGGAGGAGATGTGTCACTCCCCACTGTGACTGCCATCGTTAGGCACTGCAGACATGGACTAGGGAAAACCTGGAGGTTTTTATGCAAGAGCTGTTTGAGTCACACAAAGTTGAAGCTACTTCCTTATCTAAGTGGCAGTTGCTGCACTGAGTTACCAGAGATGTGTTATCAGAGTCGTGTCATCCCTCCTGCCTTCGGCCCATGTCACCGCAGCCTCATTTAGACAGGTGAGCCGCACCTCTTCACCCTGCAGGTGCAGAGTCAGATGCAAATTATAGGCAACAATCACCTCCGCGCTGATAATGAAGTGGGTTAGAAGGCTCTGTGTAGTCATCATCATGTCATTTATATGAACAGACACGGCACATCTGGTCCTCTTGCCATCAAAACCCTTCAGCTGGTGTGGACTTCATATCAGGATATGCAGAAAGGTCCCGCAAGCCACCTAGGAGCACATGCGGATAGGCTCACTCTGCGGGGCGGGCTTTCTGTGTTACTGCCTTCCACATATGCTTCGTACTAAAACTCAACTGCGACACATTGTGCACCCACCTGCAATGTGGTCTCTTTTCCCAGTCTCCCTCTTAAAAACTTTTTTTTGAGGTCGGGCCTGGTGATGCACTCCTGTCATCCCAGCACTGGGGGGCTGAGGCAGGAGGATTGCCACAAGTTTGAAGCCAGCCTGGGTTACACAGTGAATTCAAGGCCAGCCTGAACTGCATAGTAAGACCCTGTCTCAAAAAAAATATTGAGGTAAAATACATAGAATCCAAAATTAACTATTTTATTTAATTTTTAAATGAAATTTCTTGTGTATTTTTAAGGTACACCACATGATGTTATGATATACATATAGGAGGCGGAATATTCACCATAGAAAAGCAGGAGAACATCATCTCATGTATTCATCTACACAGTTAGCAAGACTGCCCGATATACTATAATTACATTAACTGTGTAGTCTGCGTGTGGTGCGTTACTTCCTAGACTGGAAGTGTTATTCTATTTTTTGAGAGTTTGCAAACAATTGGTGTTTATTTTACTTCAAACATCTGGTAGCATTCACCCACAAATGAAGAATTGTAAGGTTTTTTGATTACTAATTTGGCATCTTTACTAGTTAGAGTCAGGTTTTCTATTTCTTCTTAAGTCAGCTTTATTAGTTTGGGCATTAATAAGAAGTTATCCACTTCAGGCCAAGTGTGGTGGCACATGCCTGTGATACCAGAACTCAGGAGGCTGAGGCAGGAGGATCGCCATGAGTTTGAGGCCAACCTGGGCTACAGAGTGGGTTCAAGGCCAGTCTGGACTGCATAGCGAGACCCTGTTTCAAAAACACACAAAAAGTTACCCATTTCATTTGGGTTATTTACTTGATTGGATTATAATTATTCAAGGTATTCCTTTATAATCCTTTTTATTTATGTAAGGTTATTTATGTACTCTCTCATTCCTAAATTTAATAATCTAAGTCTGCTAACAATTCAAGTTATTGATCCTTTAAAAGAAATAAGTTTTTTAGTTTTGTTGATGTTATTTATCATTTTTAAATTCTGTTTCATATACTTGTGGGATACTCTAGAATTTTTTCTCAGCTTTCTTTAACACCTAGTTTGCTCTTTTTTCTTTTTTCCTAAGCCAGTCCTGAACTCCTGGGCTCCACCCCTGTGGCACAACTCATTATAGCTAAGTCTTGGAAGTGGCCTGCGTGCCCACATAACAGATGGATGGGTGAAGGAAGCGTGGTGTTTAGACACAATGACACTACTCGGCCATAAGATAGTTGTGATCAACTTGAGTCATTTATGGGAAAATAGAGGCAGCTTGAAACCATAATGCTAAGTGAAATAAATCCGATGCAAAGAAGCTTAAATATCACATAGTTTCTCTTATATGAGAAACACAAAGCATACTATTTTTTTTTCTTTTTGGTACCGGGGATCAAACTCGGGTCCTTGCGCTTGCGAGGCAGGCCACCGAACCGCTGAGCTAAATTAAAGCATACTAATTTAAAGAGCAAAATGAAAGACAGATGATAGGAAGCAGGGAGGTAGCCTGCAGGGGAATGAGATGAGGTCCTGGGGATAGAAGTAAAAACGACTAAGATGCAGTCTGTGTATGTACCAGTTCCCCGAGATGAACGCATCACAGACATACACTAATAGAAGAGACGGTGCCCATTCTAGATACCACATATAAGTGGAATAATACAATGTTTGTCCTCTCATGTCTGCATTATTTCCCTTAACATAGTGTTTCCAAAGTTTATCTTTATAGTAGTTGTGAAGAATGCAGCTGTGTGCTTCGGCACGTATTTGCTGTCAGTTCAGAGAACTGTGACCCCCACAGTGAGCTCACTGGACTCCGTGATAGTTCCATTTCACATTTTGAGGACCCACGAACTGTTTTTCACATAGAGTTGTACCATCTTGCATCCCCATCAGTGAGGCACCAGGTCTAACATTTCTTCTGTCTGACCAGTTTTTCTCTTCCCATTTCTCTTCTGAGAATTGCTACCTTGGGTGAGAAGTGGCCTCCTGTTGTAGTTTTGACTGGAATTTCGTGAATCACTAGTGATGCAGAGCTTCTTTCCATGCACTTATTGGCCATGTGTATATCTCTAGAGCTGTGTCTACTCAAGTCCTTTGCCATTTTAATATTGTACTGGTTGTATTGTTTTTTGTCGTTGAGTTGTAGAAGCTTCTTATATATGTCTACTAATCATTACTACATAGGGGATTTGCAAACATTTCCCCTGATTCTTGTGAGTTGTCTTTTTTACTTAATAATGTCCTTTGCACGACTTTTTAAAGTGTTTAGGATGACCAATGTATTTATTATTTCTTTTGCTGCCTGTGCTTTTCGTATTGTATTCAGGAAATCACCAAATCCAACGTCATGAAGATTCCCCCCATGGTTTCTTGTAAGAATTTTTTAGTTTTAGGCCTTATGTTTAGGCCTTTGATCCTTTTGACATTATTTTTTGTATCTGGTATAAGGTAATGGTCCAGTTTTATTTTTTTGCATGTGATGTCCTTTTCCCAGCACCATTTGTTGAAGATCATCCTTTCCATATTGAATGAATGGTCTTGGCATCCTTGTTGAGAATCTTTTAACCATATAAGCAAGAGTTTCTTTGGGACCTCTTGCTTTTATTCTGTCGGTAGAATAGAATGTGTCTGTTCTTCTGTCAGTACTATGCTGTTTTGATGATAATAACTTTGTAGTTAGTTTTGAGATCAGAAGTGTGAGTCCTCCAAATGCATTCTTTTTCAAGCCTATTTTTGACTCTGAATTTTACTCTGATTTGTCAATTTCTACAAAAAACGACATTGGGATTTTGATCAATTAAATTGAATCCAAAGATCACCTTGGGTTGTGTAGTCATAGTAACAACGTTAGGCTTCTGGTAGTTTTGAGATATTGTTATGTTTCCTCCAAATCATCAAATATACGAGCACACATTTGTCCCTCGCATCCCATCATGCTTAATGGCTGCAGAACTGGGAACAATCTCTCATTTCACTCCTCACATCAGTGTATTACTACCTCTCCTTTTATGTCTCTTGGTAAGGCTAGGGGTTTATCAAAATTATACTTTTTCAAAGAACAGGCTTTTTTTTCATTGACTTTGCATATCACTTTCCTATTTTCACTTTCATTGATTTCTGCTCTTGTGTTTATTACTTACATCTGCTTGCTTTGGTTTGACAGTATACTGAGTTAAGAACTTGTATTATTGATTTGATCAGCTCTTTTTTATTTTTATTTTTTGGTACTGGGGATTGAACTCAGGACCTTGTGCTTGTGAGGCAGGCAGTGGAACCACTGAGCTAAATCCCTGGCCCTTGGATTATTGATTTGAGACCTTCATCTCTAAGCCTGTATTGCTATAAACTTCCCTCTGAGCACTGCACTAACTGCTTTGCACAGATTTTGATAAGTTGCGGTTTCATTTTCACTTAGTTCTCTACATTTTAAAAAAATCTCCTTAGCAACTGTGACTTTTATTTACATGTATGCTGTTTAATTTCCAAATGTTTAGATATTGTCTTTTCTCTGTATTTTCCATGTGTCTAGTTGTGATTCAGACAGTCAGAGGCACCACTCTCTCGGAGCCTGGCCGAGGTTTGTCTCCTAGTCCAGGAGACGGTATCTGTTGGCGGATATTCCATGGCCGGCGAAATCCCCCTTGGTCTCGGCATTCTATCGTCCTTCCCTATCCGTGCAGTATTTTAGTCTAGCAGTTTTGCCACCTGCGGAGAGTGGAGTGTCACACTCCCCAGGCAGAACTGTGGGATTTGTTTCTCTTTGCAGCTCTGTCAGGATTGTTTTCAGGAGGTGCATATGCATTCAGGATGGGCATGTCTTCCCGGTGGATCGGCTGGCCCTTTTGTCATTCTGTTGTCCCCCTGCTCGTGGGGCGTCCTCCATTTCCTCACAGTGAGATAGGTTGAGCCATGGTTTCCTGCACTGTTCTAACATTTACTTTGTAGAAGATTTTGGCCTATATTTTTGGATTCAAAGAGACCACCAAGGCCTTTTCCAAAAAAGATGGGCAATGCAAAAACAAACAAACAAACAAACAAACAAAAAGGTGGGTAATGCATTTGGAAGAGCCATAGGCAGTTTAGGGATCACTTTGTTACTAGTGTAAAACCTGTTGAGGCTTTCGCTGTGCAAGCTTGCTGTTTCTCGTTGGGTGCAGGCCGTGTGCAGCCCCATGACGGCCTTTCTCTCTTCTGCTGCCTTCAATACTAGGAATAACTAGGGCGTAGTCTTTGGAAATTCAAGAGAAACCATTGGAAACGGGAAACGCGTGCTGTGTCGCTGACATGAATGGAGGCCATAGTTTTGAAGGACTGGTTTTGTACCCTAAGGTCAAATCATTACACTAGTGACCACACCTACATACACGGTGTGTCCCTAAGACCCCTCCATGCTCTGCGGGGAACGTAGCCCCAGTCTGTCCTGGGCAGGGCTGTCTGTGGCCCAGGCCCCAGGCTGACCATGCAGAACTGCAGCTTGGAGCTCTCGGGGATCGTTGCTGGAGCTCTGGCCCTCCCTGGGCCATGCGGTCATCAACACCAGCCCGGGGCTCAAGCCAGCTCCTCAGTGCCTGACCAGGCATGGAACCACGGCTTTCTCCCTGTCCTCATTCCCTGAGGAAAAGGGAGCAGACCCCGGCCCCTTTAAACCTTTTCCATCTCTTCTGCCTCCATCTTACTGTGACTCTTTGGACGTCACATATAGGGGCCTCAGGAACTGACACCAGAGTGCCCCATTCAGGGTTGTCTGTCTTGTTATTAAGTGTGTGCCCCTGCTGTCTGCCTCACCTTTCAGAGCAATGGGACCGCCGCATCACCACCACAACCAGGAGGCCAGATGCAGCCAAGGCCCCCGCAAACCCTGCAGGTAGGTGCCACTGTGGGTTCAGGCCGAGAAGCCGCATGCACACGAGCCCCTTGTAGTGGAGCGCACTGACCGGTTCTTTTGTTTGTGCCCCTGGAAGTGGATGACTTTAGCTTGGCTGATGCCTTGGATGACAGAAATGACCGAGATGATGGCCCAAAGAAGCCCAGCGCAGGAGGAGGCGAAGGTGAGTGCTGGAATCACTTGTTGCCTGGCAGAGAGCCCTAGAACAGTGTTGCTTGCATTTTCTGGTCTTTGTATTGCTACAGGGAAACTCCAACTGAGCCCTTCTAGTCTCACTTGCTCTTCGTTGACTTAAAACTCACTGATTGTGGAGGTCACATGGCTAGTCTCAGCAGCTTGGCTGTAGATGACACCTCTGCCTCGTGGGTTACCACGCTTCCCGTTGCCTACGTTACTCTTCAGTAGAGTAACTACAGGCACTGACGCTTCCCGTCTGGTGGGTGGTGGGATGCAGTGGCATGGGATGGAAGGCATGGCCTTGCTGCCTGCATTTTGTGTCCGTTTCCTCTGCTGCCTTAGCCTCTGTGTTCTGGAGATCTCTGCTGGTCCCGGCAAAGACATTCATATGCCTCCCCTTTAGCTACTTGTCTCCCTCCCTCCTTCTCCCACTCCTGCATCTGTAGCCTGCAACTCCCTGGAGCAGCTGATTTCGTGAGCAGGGCTCTCTGTTTTCTAAGCTTTGGCCACCAAATAAAGCCTTCCTCCACGATGTCTGCTAGGCACTGGTTTTCCACGGGCTGTACTTCCAGACCTGGAGTCGGTAACATGAGGGCTTCCTAAGTTATTGACAAGGTCAAGAGCTTTAGTTTGTGTGGGTCATGCCTATCGGTATTTATCATCTGCATACTTAAATCTGAAATCTATAATGAACAACACTCAACCCATACACTCTAATAGAAATAACATACTTTTTTATGATAAATGATTGTGCATGGCTAAACAAAAACACAATTTAGTGAGAGGAATGGCATTATCTTCCATTTTTGTTAATTCTCATCATATTTGGCTTGGTAGGAGACAGCTGCATTCTCATATTTACTTCTCTATTGAGCTGTGATTTATTCTGATTAAGTACATTTTAAAATCTGGCCTATTTTTGCTCTTGCAATTAAAATTTCAATACACACTTATTCCCTAAACCACCAACCCCAAATTTTGAAACAACAAAACATGAAACTCCTTGAGAAATAAAATGAACCAAAATTTGACTCTTTCATTGCCCCTACAATAACAGGATTACCTATTATTCTCCTCATTTCATTCTCCTACATTTATTCCCTTCTCCTCACCATCTCATCAATGATCGACTTCTTTCTCTCCAAGAATAACTAGTCTAACTTCTACTTAAAGGGTAGTAATACGTAACATGAAAGGACGGACTTGATCCTGTGTTGTATGTGCTACCAATAAATTCAGGCAGAGCAGCCCTACTATAGGTCTCACAGACACTGAGTCCTCATTAGCGCCGTTCTTACCTCAACAAATGCCGGGTGTACTCTTTCCAGTCCTAGTAATTATGGAAGCCGTTAACCTGTTTGGCCAATCTGTAGCTCCAGCCACTCGACTTATAGCCAGCATTATTGCCAGACACCCAGTACACAGTACACCTTATCAGACGGGCTGCCTGTGTCTTAACTGCACTTACCCCCCCACACACACACGCTTCTTTAATTCCATTTATCATCTCGGTTCTTCCAACAACTGTAGAATTTGCTGTTGCCCTGATGCAGGCAGATGTGTTTACCTACACGATAATGCCTAGTGGCCCACCAAGGCCCTGGCCACTAACAGGGGCACTTTCGGCCCCCCCTGCTCACATCAGCATAAGTAACGTGGTTTCATTTGCATTCACACACCCCAGTTCTTCTAGGGTCATTAACACACCTGTTAAGAGCATGTCAGTGATGCTGAGATGTAGTGGGGGAAGGAATTTTCCAAGGCCACCATAGGCTCATTGTCTTTGATACGGAATCATCGTAGTATCTGTTGCCTGGGCTCACCACATTTGGACAGAGGGGAACAGAAAACATAATTCTAGCCCTTCTTTTCAGTCCCATTTAGAATTTATTTTCCACTTCTCCAAGCCTCAGAATTTTCTGAAACATTTGTCTTCTGCATCAGTTAAATTTCCACTTCACATCTAGTCATCACTTTGGATCTGACACTTCATTGACAGACAGGTACTACTCTGTGTCTCAATTTATTGAAGAGAGTGTTCTTCTCTTAGTAGTAAGTAGTTCGGCTGACTTCCGGTCAGTTTCAGTTCAACCCGAAGGAAAGCAATAAGCATGTTTTTTTACTCTTATCGACCAGTGCCACGTTAGCCACTCTGTTCATTACCACTTCATTCTGACTACCTCAAGCCTTTACTGTACAGGAGTTTGAGGTGATGGTGGTGGTGGTGATCTTGGGGGCACTGGCGATTGAACTCAGGGCCTCACGCACGCTGTGCACATGCTCTGCCATTATGCTACACAGCCAGCCTGAGCCTTTATTGGACATGGGGAAAAAAATCCAGGCCCACTGAGTGCAACTTTGACCCTATAGAATCTGCCCACCTTGCACTCTCTATAAAATTCTTCCTTGGAGCCATTACTTTCTTGCTGTTTGAGCTAGAAATTGCTGTCCTCCTCCTTCTCCCACAAGCATCGCAAACAAACAGTATGACCCTAATTCAACTGGAGCCCTGGTCCCAATCTTTATTTTAGCCCTAGGCCTGGCCTATGAAAGGCTCCTAAAAAGACTAAAGAGAGTTCGATTTGGTAATTGGTTTGAGCCCAAACAAATGATTTTGACTCATTAAACTAGGACTTTCCTTGTAATTATCAAAATGCCCCCAATCTACTTAAAGATCATCATAGCTGATATTGCATCTGTCCTAAGCACAGTAATTTCCAGAGCCCTCCCTGTATCTTCCCTACTGTCAGTGTATATTTTTGGGGTATTACAACTCTGAATCTATTTCTCGGACCAATCACTGTGATGCTCTGTGCAGCTTGCGAGGCTGCTGTGGGCTTAGCGCCACTGGTCATAGTAACACATGGGGTTTAGACTGTGCGCAAAAGTTCAGCTTCCTACAGTGCTAAAAGTTCTCCCGGCAAGTATGCTCATTCCGCTTACAGCATCCTCCTAATACTCTAATCCGAATCCACACCACTGCACAGCCTTGTCTAAACCAGTCCACAGTAACTGACTTCTCACTACCACTCTCCTCCCCCAATAATGAAGTCAGTGTCATCTATACAAGGGGCCAGGCAAATAGGAAAATCGGTGCATCGCACTGCTGATCTCTTCACAATGTGTCATCGTGGCCACAGAACTAATTCTATTTTATGTCCTCTTTGAAGCTGTGTGTAAACCCACCTCGATCATTATCTCAAGACAAGGAAATCAAAGAGAATAGTAATAAACAGTTGTGGTTTTTGTTTTTTTTTTGTTTTTTTTTTTTTTTTTTATTTTTTTTTTTTTTTTTTTTTTTTTTTTTTTTTTGTGGTACCGGGAATCAAACTCAGGTCCTTGGGCTTGTGAGGCAGGCAGCAGATCCACTAAGCTAAATCCGCAGCCCACAACAGTTTTAATCTATTCCAAAATACAAACAGATCGCTACATTTTTTACTTACTCTCAAATCTCAGTATTATCAAGTACCTGATCCAATAATCTTCTCTTTCGGGGGGGTTAAGACAGGGTCTCACTGTGTAGTCCAGGCTGCCCTCAAACTCACTATGTAGCCCAGGCTGGCCTCAAACTCTCAGTGATCGTCCTGCCTCAGCCTCCTGAGTGCTGGGATTACAAACGCGCCGCCACACCCAGCTCTGATCCAGTAATCTTCTTAGATAGCATGCATTATAGTTTTTGCATGCATTATAGTTTTTGTGATAAAAATACCATTCTATGGTCTCCTGCTGTGATTACCACAAGCACGTGTAAGGCCCCAAGTGCTGCGTGCATAGGCTGAGCAGCTTGTCACACCAGGGCCATGGCGCAAAGTGTGTCACCACCACGCTGGACCCACCACAGACCTCATAGCGTCCCACTATCTCTAATCCTGTTTTCTTGTTTTGTGTTCGCCATTCACCTTGAGGAATCAGTACACATGGGCACAATCCTCACAGTATCATTATGATGCATCCTCATGACAAACACCGATTGCTTGTCGGACTGGAAGTCACATGGCACCAGCAAACCCGGCGCTTCCCGGCCACACTCCATGAAGTGTGGCCCTTCCACTCACCCCCGGCTTCCTATCGTCCATGTTGTTTTGCCTGGCTGTCCCCCACTCAGTAAGAGTTGTCGCACGCCAGTAACGTCCTGCCCTTCACATGGGAAACACCTTGGTGCCCTTACACCTTTCCCCTCCGACCCTATCTTTTAGGATTTCTATACTGTCTGTGTAGTTGAAGTCAAAGCTGAGTTTATGAATCTCGTAATAGAAGCTAAGACGCCCTTTCCTGAGAAGTAAGCATCAACTGCTAACTCCATTCTTCCCTATCTAATAACAAGGCTTTCTTAGCTTTGAAAGGATAGAAGTAATCTGTCGGTTTTAGAAACCAAAAAAACTGGTACAACTCCAAATATAAAAATATAAAGCCATTTTCTTCCTCATTTGTTTTATCACTTCTAGCACCAAGCGCAACTTCTGTAAGCAATTTACACAGTCCTTATTGCCACTAATGATAAAACCTCAATCCTCTCTGCTTTCTTATGCAGCCTGATTCTCACACTGCCATTTATACCCTCAGGTCAGGAAATAATTTTCTCCACTTGGCACCGAATAACGAACGATCCAAGCCCTCCACCCAACCTGGAGTTTCAAGCTAGGCTGTTCTTCAGCTCCAATCATGTCTCTAGCACCAAGTGTTACATGATCAATCAAGTTTCTTTATGCTATATGCACTCTGACCCAGGCATCGATCAAACTGTTTCTCATCGAAATACTGATTGCAGTAAGCCCCCAAATTTATTCCAGCTTCTCACTGGGTCAGAAGTCCAGGAATCTCATCGTAGCCAGACGTGGTAATACAGCAGCTCTCCAAGCAGTTCTTCACACCCACTTCAGAGATACCAGATTCCTTCTGTCTATGCCACAGTTCCCAGTGCATTTTAATTCATGGGAACTACCGTAAATACTTCCTCCTCGTGAGCCAGGCTTCGCCCATTAATCA